TCACTGAGCCTTTGCAGGTGGGTGCACTGCCCTAGACAGAATTCAAACTGGCCACGCTGCCTCCTTTGAATCTTCTTCCACTTCCTGCTATAAAGAACTCTAGAGTGTTCAGCCAATCTGGATTTCTGGACTGGCTGAACGCATCAGCTTCAGCGTGCTTCAACCAAAGGCCTCACCCAGTCGGCTGTCCATTGGCCTCTTCCACTCTCACTACCAGGGGGGAGGGTGGCGCCTTTGTAATTTTGTGTCAAAGTGAAAGCTACATGCTTTACACTGTATTAATATTTGTCCCCGTTGGTATCGCTCGTCCCGAGTTTGTGTTATGTATTTGGGTCAAAGAAGGATCAAGTGCTTTAATACTATTTCGTAATTCTCTGCCCTTTAGCACCCTCTGCCCAGGCACCTCAAAGCAGTTGACAGACACTAGTGAATTAAGCTTCACAACACCCTTGGGAGGCATATCAGCACGGATAGCCCCATTTCACACATGAAGCACAGAGAGGTAAAGTAATTTGCCCAAGCTCATATTGCACAAGTCACAGAGCCAGGTACAGAACTCAGGTCTCCTGGGTCCCCATCCCATGTTTTAACTGTAGATTTCCTGAGACAGCATATACTGTATCCCAGCCACTGTCTCCTCACCAGCGAATCAACGTTCTAACGCATCGCTCTTACATTGCTCCCCCGATTCAATACAAGACGTGTGCAAACTTCTACATCAACAGATGTACCCCCCACAGTATGTAGTCACAGACAGTCTGGAACCCTGGGTAACAAATACTGAAGTGAAAAGTTCCACTGCCACACTTAACATTTACGGGGATCTCCAAAAACAAGATCGGCCTTACTTTAATCTTCTCCTCCTTCCCCAAAACAATTCCTTCCCCCTTTACATTGAACATTTATATTGTGGAAGAGCCTGGAGGCCAACAGGTTGCTGCCCCATTGGGCTAGTGCTGTACAAAGACACAGAAAATGACAGTCCATGCTATAAAGTGTTTACTAGTGTCTGGATCTCTCCCCAGAGCAGCACAGCAAATGACACACTCATCTTTACTCTGCTAGCTCTGTCAAACGAATAGTTCCATGTTAGAAACATGATAGTCTTGCCAAAAAAAGAAAAGAGGAAACTCTAGCAGAGGGACACCTCTGAGAGCAGCGATTTCTTCCCGTCCAGTTCCATGGCTGGCTGGAGGCATAAGGAGCCGTGGCAGAAAGTTTTCTCCCTCTCCGGCAATGGAATGGAGAGGGGAAGCAACATAGTCTATGAGTTTGGAGTTTGCCCTGGACAGCAGGGCCTCCCCAGCAGCTTCCTGCTTCACTTTCCCACAAGGCCAGTATATTCCAGTGTGTCCCGGCTAGAGCAACATCAAACCCCAGCAGCACTGGCAGACGTTCTTCCGGGCTCCTCCTCCTTCCAGCGTCAGCCCCACACGTCTGCGGTTGCCCAAAATATTTTTTCTTGCCCATCGCTTCCACTATGTCACTCCCCCCCCACCTTTGAGTTGCTCAACCGTTTCCTCCTGGCCCCATATATACCAAGTCCGTACAACTTGCTGTCTCCTTTGAGGCTGTTCACCAGACAGTTACGACCCATTTCTCTGACCTGGTGTCCTTTCACATTGACTCTCCCCTGCCACACGCCCTCTCCGCTCTGCCAGTGTTGAGACCTCCTCTCACAGCACTAGTAGTCAGTATTTCTATTATGGTAGCATCCAAAGAGCCTGCGCAGGATCGGGGCATTTGTGCTGAGTGCTGTAAAAGCAGAGGGGGGGAAAGAGACAGTCCCTGCCCTGAAGGGTTTACAGACTCAAGAAGACACCTCGGGGCCTTTTTTCTTTGTGCTTGGTTTGCCACATCACCTTGCTCAAGCCCCTCCTCAAACTCAGTTCTGCCAGGAAGCCCATTTTTAACAAAAGTCCCCTGCAGCTCGCAAGCTGTGCCCAAGCCTGGCTGACCTGAGTCATTCTTGTGCCTTCTTGCTCATGCTGCTGCCACCTGTTCCTGTGTGTTTGTGACCCTCATTTGTTGTGTCATGCTGAACTCACCTTGCCAGCCACAGCTGGGGCCATTCCTCTACTTGTTCTGAGATAGGCCTTGCACATTTTTGGGCACCTGAAAAATAACCGTCTTCTCGAGAGGTGAACGGCACAGCCTGACACCACGTCTCACATATTTAATCTCTTCTACTTCTAGAATGCATTAGACGTGCCGCTAGGAATATCAGCACTAACCAGTGAGCAAGTCTGACTATGGAGACTGTAAACCATCACTGTCTTAAATGTACACATGGATTTGTTAATTCACCCTGAAGCTGTACTGCTCCAGGATGCAGATACAACTTCCAGGCCTCAGCAATGACGTTAGCACTGGCTCAGGAGGAGAAGATATGTTAGCCCACAAGCACAGGTTGACTATTTTTCCTTCTTAGTTAACCAGAAAGCTGCCTGCCCTTTCATGTCTCCAAGCTGCCTTTCTTCACAACAACCACTATCTCCTGCATGACTCATCAGTGAAACAATAGATTTTCAGCTCCATCCCACAGCAATGACACACAAAGAGAACTGTTCCTTCTTGCTTTTGCAGCAGGTACAGTAGTGTCACGGAGCTAATGCTGCATTACAGCTCTAGCAGCCTTGACAACATGCACATAAAATCAATAAATAAAAAGGGGAATCCCAAAATTCTACTGCAATCTTTTCAAGAACCTTGGCTTGAGAATCATTAACTGAAAGCCCACTAATTGTATTAATGCATTGCTAATCTAACAACACACATGTGCACACACACACACACACACACACACACACACTTGATCTTCTCCTTTTGAAAAGGTTACACTCGAAGTGAATTATATCTGGGTTAAGGTCAATAACAAGTACATCAGGAAAGGTGGTATTCTTGCCAAGCAGCAAGTACCATCTGCACCTACAACTATCCTACCACGTGATTAAAAATGATAGGTTGGAAGTGGGGATGCCCTACCCTATACTACCTCATACAGGAGGTGTCATCCTGCCCATATCCTCCTGCACCCACTATCATGAATGCCAGTCAAAGCCCCGAGTTCAATTTTGTCTAGGCTCATCATGATGTAGGCCCAAGTCTAAAGTTCAATTAGATTGAGATTTCCACACCCACTCAGCCAAAAATATCCCCACAAAGGAAGAGCTGTACTTGTACACACACTCACATATAAAATCATCGTCAACGACAGGAAGACGATTTTAAAACTATCATTAAAATTGATCAAAATACTGAAGGAGTCTCCCTGCAAGCAAGCAGGAATTGATAGATCAGATTGATGCACTTAGGGACCAGGTCTGCCTTTGTGTGTGTGGGGGGCACGCCTAGCACAATGGATGCCACCACAATATAAGAAATTAAATAATAATTGTAACATATACACATTGTTATCTGCAGGATGAAGATCACATGGGGAGGTGGGGGAGGGGGGCTGAGATGAGCTGGAGGGAAAATACCAAAGTATAGTCCTTGCTGCCCTATTTTTATCCAGTTTAGACTATAAACTCCTTGGGGTGACGACTGGTTCTTCCTGCATCAGGAGATGCACTGCTAAACATATTTTGCACTTTATATTTTCAAAGCACTGCACCGCCATTAATTAGCAGATGATCAGTGGTGGGTGGTAGGGGTGGAAATATTCTTTAACCCCCTGCACTTCTGATCTCACCAGCTCCGACTGGAGAAGCCCTTCCCCCACCCAACCACACGCTCTGTTGTAAGAATGAAAGTGCAGCTGTGAAGCAACCCAGCAGAAGCCCTAGAGGGAGTGTCCCCGGCGCACGTGGTAGAGGGCGGGGCTTGACACGTCATCCTCCCCCAATGAAACTAACTAGTTTGGAACGCAGCAACACGCTACATTCCAAATGAGAGAGGAAAGATACAGCCCTGCCTTTGCCTTGGCACAGATCCTCCCCCCCCCCAAGACGGAATCAAGGGCGCACGAGAACACGGATCTCCCCACCCACCCATCACACCATTGACTTGGGGGGGGGGGGGGTGGAACAACCCAAGGTTCCCCTCTGCAAATTTCCAGGAAGGCAGAACATACAAAAAAGGAGGGAGGCGAAACGGTGGAGTGTATCATATGACACTCTATGTCATTTCATTATGCAAAAGCAGCCTCCCCTCACTCCGCTCTGCTGGAGTACTGCCACCGCCCTACGATCCGAAATACAGGAGGAGATTTTCCCCCACGAAGGGGGGGGGGGAAACTGTACACGTTACATATATTAATGACCATTGTACGAATTCAACTGCAAAGCAAATCGCCGGCAGGTCCTATGAAGACAGGCTGCGGGTCATTTGGGCGAATAACTGCCCCCTCCCAACCCACCAGCACAGACACACTATCCTAATGATTAAAATACTTTAGGTTTTGAACAAAAAAAAATAAAAATAAAACAGGCTTCGATTGCTGTGACTTTTGGAACACGATCGTTTTCACCATTTCAGCAAAGGGGGGGAAAAAGTGCATTTTGCAGACTCCCATCCAAAGAATAAGAGTCTCTGCATTATGGATGAATGAGAGAGAGAAAAAGGGAGACAACGTTAATCTCCCGAAAATCAGGGCTTTCCGATCGCCCACAAGCATGTGTCAGCACATCGCTATTAAACGCTCAACTCCCAACAAAAATTCAGACATGCCTGCTTCAGAGGCGACGGGAAAGGCTAAAGGGAGACGGATTTAACTCCAAGCCCCTTTGCAACATCCCTTACATTTATTTTAATTCAGAACATCATGTACTCGAGACCATGCTTTTTTCTTACCAAATCAGCTTTGAAAGCAAGGTGTACCCTCCACCCGCCTCAGACACAGTAAGTAACACACAGTGCAGCGACGGGTGACTGGAAATCAGGCTGCCTTCTTGTAAAAATAAAAGACTATATTTTTTTCCCAGCTTTTGGAAAATGGTGTCCTGTGTCTTTAAACAGCTCTAATTCCGATTTTACATGCTGTCCCCCCCCTCCCTTACCACGTGTTTTCTGTTGTTGCTGGGCTTGCCATTCCAGAAATCTGGCCGCTTCCAAAAGCGTCTCAATGCTCATCGCTTGGGTTGCCTTTCAGTGGAGGATCCAAAATCCTGGAGACTTAAAAAAACAAAAAAAAACAAAAAAAACCCAAACCGGGGGTTTCCTTCTCCTTGTCTTCTCCCCAGTAAAAATGCCGAATCAGACCACCCCCCACCCCGATCCCCTGCGAATCTTCCAGACAAGAAAAGGGTTTGCAACAAGATGGCGATGAGTATGTAACAGAAACACAACAAGAAAAAAGGACTAACACAGCCCTCAGCTACTATACAGACTGCTGCAGACAAAACCCGGCCTGGATCTTTGTAGGTCACTGGACTGGAACTCGACAATGCCATTTTGCAGGGGTGGAGTTTAACCACTGCTGTTTGGAGTGAACCCTCTTTACACAGAGGGAGCGGATCTGCCAAAGCTCTTATTTGGGATCTGTTTTCAATGTGTTGGATTTTTTTTTTAATTTCTCCTTTTCATGACAGATTTATTTTTGCTAGCGTGTATTTGAGTGAGACATTTAAAATGTCATCTGTCATTCAAACTGGCATAGATAGACAATATCTTCATGTTTCAGAGTAGCAGCCGTGTTAGTCTGTATCCGCAAAAAGAAGAACAGGAGTACTTGTGGCACCTTAGAGACTAACAAATTTATTAGAGCATAAGCTTTCGTGGACTACAGCCCACTTCTTCATGGAACTTTATTGTAACTTGGACTTGTTTGAGATCGTTTTTAAACTATCTACAGCTTAATCCAAAAAGACTCTGTCCCATAAATTAGACTGGTTTGGTCTGATTTTGGAGGGTCATTCATGGAATTATAATAATTATAGATGGAAAAAATTAGGTCATTTTGCTCTCTGTTCTCTTTCCCAACCCACAGCTACTGCAGTATCATTGCTCACTTGTCATTTCCAGTCGAATTAGCCTGTAATTATTATTATTTATTGGGACCTGATTTTTCAGAGGTGTTAAGTACCTCCAGCTCCCCTGGACTTCATCTGGACTTTTGGGTGCTCAGCGCTACCAGGCCTGAAATAGCTTATGTAGATTTAACAGTCATCTGATATTTTATTAACACAAACTGATCTTGGAACTCCCACCTCAGCTGATTTTTCTGCAGATGTCATGAATTATTTGGAAATACCTCTATTAACTGTACATACAACTCAATATAAATGACAGATCTTTAATAAAAACAGATAAACATGACAATGTTGCAGTTACTGATTCTGCAAGATGGCCTATGCCAGGACAGGGAACAACCTATATGACTCAGTTTACAGCACCAGGTCCCTAGAAAAGGAAAGGGACTGTATTATCGTATCAGTATGTACTTTTCAAATATTTAACTTATTATGGGATTTTACAAGGAAATGGAAAGAAGACAAGATGTTATCACAATTATCAATATATGCCTGTATGTATTACTGAATAGAAATGAGGTTCCATGCATAATACAGGACAAGCTAAATAAACTATGTATACAAACAGAGATGGAAAAGGCCTGTTAGATCATTTAATTCACTCCTTGTTGCCAACACAAGATTACTCCTTGCAGCACAGGGAGGTAAGTGTCATTGTACACAACTGTGTACAAATACAGATTAAGGCTACTTCAGGTGTTTCTGCAGAGAGAGAAAAAAAATCTGCAGCATTTATTTTGACAAAGACATCAGCCTTGTTTTCAGTTGCACTGTGTCAGTTTCTTTTACTTTGTTCATTCCTAGGGAGGAAGGATACATCTTGCTTTCAGATAAGCTTGGCCCACAGCGAGGGAGAGAAATAGACAGCCCCATGATCCCAATGTATTATTATTTTGTATTAAATGATGTCTGACGTCTAATTGCAAGGGGATGAGGGAGGACGGTGAGTTCTGTGGGATGCAGGAGAGATAATCCTGTAGCCGGGTTTTCCACCTGGTCCTCCCCCCGCAGTGCGTTTGCATCCTATTAAAATATGTCATCCTGCCCTGAGCCAATCCGCTTGGAAAACAACAAGGCATGGAGCAACTCCACATGGGCACCCTGCTCCGTCTGCCTCCGACGGCGTCTTCTTTAAAGGGCCAGCCACCCTTGGAGTTTCCCCAGCAGCCATGAACAGCGCACTGGAGAAGGAGGAGGGCACGTTACCCCCGGTGAACCCTGATGGCTGCTCCTTCGTCAGTGTGCCACTGGGAGAGGGTTTTTCCTTCCCACGCTCCTGGTACAGAGATGCGCAAAATCATGGAGTATAAAGGGGGGGAAGAGGAATGGACGAATAAAACAACCTGCAATGGGATCAGGAAACAAAAATCCTAAAATGCTGCGAACACCATGAACCAGTGAAACGTTTTATCGAGGGTCAGAAAACGGCAGGGCACAGCAAACCTTGCCTATTTCCAGCAGGGGAGGTCTCTGCAGCCAGTAGGCGCATTGCATTCATTTCTGAGCCAAATGAATTACCTCCAATCAAGGGCATCCGGCAGCCAAAGTCCAGGGCAGACGCCTCTCACGGTCTGCTGGGTGCACCTGATACCAGGTGCTCAGAAGCTGATGCAATCCGGAGCCCCTAAAAATCCGGTGCTTTACAAAGCCCGGCCTAGTACAGGACACTAGTTTGGGGGGTATGGGCTTAGCACGCTTGGTTTTGGTTGATACCGGAAGCATTATCGCGGGGGAGTCCGTTCGATCTTCGGCGATAAGAAATTGGCGCATTTTTCCTGTACAGAGCAGGGCGTCTTATTTTGGGAGAGGGAAGGGGTTCAGCAGAGCTGGATGGATTCAGTTTGGGTATCAATGGCTCCAGTGAAAGGTACATAATGATGGGGTGCAGTGGGAGGCGTATTAACCTTGGCGACGGGCACCTTTTATTTGAAACCCAAATAAAGTGTAGTCCCTCACTCTACACTGCAGGGTTTATGAGCCTTGGGGGAAGGGGCAGGATGCATTTGAGTGGAGGTGATCGATGCACGCCACAGTGCCAGGGTCAATGTGATGCCTTTGGTCTGAGAGGTGCCCAGATATTGAACTCCTTCCCCGCAGACACGGGGCTGTGCGTTATTCCCGGCCCCTTCGATAGTCAAGTGCACAGAAACTGGTGCAATCTCCCAGGCTCCTTATTCATTTTGCTCGTGGCTCGCTCTCCTCTGCATTTTGATGATTAAGAAAGAAGAAGACAGATCTGGGGGGGGGGGGACTGAAGGAGGAGGGTGTGGTGCGGAAAGAAAAGGCAAGGCAACATCTTCTGCGGCGTTTAATCTTTCACAATAAATCAAGAAAAACAACGTGGAGGGAGGCGGAGCTGCAGGGATTACACAAACCGCCTGATCTTGCAGGGGGTGGGAGCGGGAGGCGGAGCTCAGTCACCCCGGACAGGATAATCTGTCTAGTCATGGCTTGCTCTGGGCAAGCCTGCTCCTTAAAGGGACTGCGCCCCATTTCTGCAAAGGCCCCGCCGGGGAAAACACGTGAGCCAGGAATACACTACGTGACAGACAAGGCAGGGAAGTTTGTGCAGCACACAGGAAAATGGAGCTGGCTCTGCCCAGGATTTGAATACAGGGAGTTCCCTGCGGTTATTCATCCCTGCACGGAAGAAGAAGAAAAAATAAATAAAAAAGATAGGAAAGCAGCATCTAAGCGCCACACGTGTACAAATATCTTTCAGCGCCAAAGGGAAAGGCTTAAAAGTAAGGGCCTGATCCTGCAAAGCACCGGTCCCTCAGCTCCATTGGTCTTCAGTGAGAGCTGCAGGATTCTCCACCTCTGAAAATCAGGCCCTTAGCGCCAGATCCTGCAAAACTGAGCAGCTGGCCCGAAGAAGAGCCCTCTGTATGCTCCAGAGCTCGGCTCTCTCACCAGCAAACGGTGCAATAAAAGATATTACCTCACCCACTTCTCTCTCACATATCCTGGGACCAACAGGGCTACACCACCCCTGCACTCAACTCCCACCGCAGGCTCCTCATTGTAAATCTGTCTCATGGCAGCTGAGGGGCTCAGCACCTCTCAGAAGCTGCTAAGCACTTTGCACGATCAGGCCCTAAAAGAATGCCGGCTCCAGCTGCCCCTTCGCAAAGCAACTCAAACAGTTCCTAGTGGATAGGATCTAACGCTCAAATAGATTAATATTTCAATTGAATTACAACTATACTCACACCAGTGCAATTACAGTAACAAAGGGGAAGGGACTAGGAATGGGAAAAGAACAAAAGGAGAGAAAAATGGGGATAGATCAATAACTCTACTCCCTGCTGAATGAATGGAACTGGCTCTGTGGATATGGGGAAAGTGGTGGACAGCATATACCTTGACATTAGCAATGGACGGGATATACCTTGACCATGTATGATACGGTCTCCCACAGAATTCTTGCCAGCAAGTTAAAGAACTATGGATTGGATGAATGGACTATAAGGTGGATAGAAAGCTGGCTAGATTGTCGGGTTCAACGGGTAATGGTCAACGGCTTGATGTCTAGTGGGCAGCCGGTATCAAACGGAGTGCTCCAAGGGTCGGTCCTGGGGCTGGTTTTGTTCAACATCTTCATTAATGATCTGGATGATGGGATGGATTGCACCCTCAGCAAGTTTGCAGATCACACTAAGCTGGGGGGAGAGGTAGATATGCGGGAGGGTAGGGATAGGGTCCAGAGTGACCTAGACAAATTGGAGGATTGGGCCAAAAGAAATCGGATGAGGTTCAACAAGGACAAGTGCAGAGTCCTGCACTTAGGATGGAAGAATCCCATGCACTGCTACAGGCTGGGGATCAACTGCCTAAGCAGCAGTTCTGCAGAAAAGGACCTGGGGATTACAGTGGACAAGAAGCTGGATATGAGTCAACAGTGTGCCCGTGTAGCCAAGAAGGCTAACAGCATATTGGGCTGCATTAGTAGGAGCATTGCCAGCAGATCGAGGGAAGTGATTATTCCCCTCTGTTCGGCACTGGTGAGGCCACATCTGGAGTACTGCATCCAGTTTTGGGCCCCCCACTACAGAAAGGATGTGGACAAATTGGAGAGAGTCCAGCGGAGGGCAACGAAAGTGATTAGGGGGCTGGGGCACATGAGGAGAGGCTGAGGGAACTGGGCTTATTTAGTCTGCAAAAGAGAAGAGTGAGGGGCAATTGATAGCAGCCTTCAACTACCTGAAGGGGGGTTCCAAAGAGGATGGAGCTCGGCTCTTCTCAGTGGTGGCAGATGACAGAACAAGAAGCAATGGTCTCAAGTTGCAGTGGGAGACGTCTAGGTTGGATATTAGGAAAAACGATTTCACTCGG